TTTAACGGCAAAAATTTAGTTAGATCGCTCTACCAATATATTTTTTGAAGAAGAACGAGGCGAATTCTTAAATCATCTGGAAAGATCAAGCACGTGTACACGAAGACTTTTCGAAGTTTTTAAGTTGTAGAGCATCATTACTTTTCGGTAGGAGTTAGGTAAAGGGATCTATTTAGTTTAATCTTCAATTCCAATTTCTTTACTAGAAGGAATACCATGGCTCTACATCCAGCACCGGAGATGGCAGTCAAAAACGAGAAGAAAAAAGAAAAAATGGCACACACATCAGCCGGGGTGAGGACTTCCAGAAAACATCCTACACCTTTGGACCCCAGCAGCAGAAACAAGAAAAAACGGTTGTAGCCATCAATTTCATCTTGTCATTTGGCGGTCGCAGTTAGTACACCTGATGCTGAATAAATGTCGAGGCTTGCCTGCACACTTGAACTGCCAAAATCCTTGTTTTGTAGTAAAGGCCGTCTTTTCTCGGTCATCAGGAGGTATCTCTGATTGCCAATATCCATTCTTTAGACCTAGCATCAAAATCCAGAAAGAGAGTCCAGAATGTCATCATTTCTAGGAAGAGGGTAACTGTCTTTCTTCATAACTGTTTAACCAGTGATAGTCAATGCAAAATCTAGTTGAATCATCTTTCTTTCTGGCTAGGATGATGGGGGATACCCATGGACTTGCTGAAAGCTCGATGGCATCGCTTTCTTGCATGTCCTTTAAAAGTTTTCTTGCATCTTTCTGTTTAGCAATCGGTAGACATGTTGGATGTTGCTTGATTGGTGGATGATCCGTGGTGTCGATTCTATGCTGTGTCAAACTGGTTCAACCTACTTCAGAAGACGAACGGGTGAAAACATCTTGAAATTCTCAAATGACACTTTCGGCAGCATTCCTCTCTTCATGGCTTGCATTCTGCAGTAACTGCAATGTAATGCTCTCTGAAACACGGATTCTGAAGGGTTACTCTTTCGCTTAATCCTGGTCACTGGAGTACATTCTGCAACCACTTCACCTTTCCTAATAATTCTCACTTTATTGCTTATGTTGGCAGCTTTTACTGGGATAACGGACCTCGGTAGGTTGATGAGTGCTGAGGCTACTAGTACTCCTTTCGGGCTGTTACAGTTCTTGAGATATTCTATCATGTAGCAGAAATTTCTGTTTTCGGCTATGTATCCAGGAAGTAAAAATTCTGTTCTTGCTGGTATTATGCTAAATATATGTAAAAATTCTGTAATATATGTAAAAATATATGTAAAAATTCTGTGCTTGCTGGTATTATTAACCAGATATCATCTTGAGATGTGATTTTGTGGACAGATTTAACTCCTTCATCATTAATCCCGAATAGGGTTATGTCCTCCAAGAAAGAATGTATTTCATTATTTTTAAAGTCCAAGAAGAAATTGTATTTCCTTAGAAAGTCCAATCTGAGTATGCAAGGATCTGTAATATTTGCCACATATGGTGGTAGGTATGGCCGTATGGTGGTAGGTGACGCACCAAACATGATGTTAAAGTTTACTTTTCTCTCGATGTGTATCTTCTCGCCAGACACAGTTTGAAGAGTAATACAGGACGGCGTCCAGATAAGTTTACCTTCCAGTTGTTGAGCCAAATCTTTCGGATGATGGTAACATTGGCTTCCGTGTCGATCATCATATTGCAGGGAAACTCCATTGATATGTCCCATGATGGAAAGTCCATTACTGCCGCCACTCACTGCAGAAATGTGAAGTGCTTTGAAATGGGGCTTATCCTTATCCTTCAAATTCCTCTCTGCAATGTGGCTATTAATTTGTTTCCCATGTCATTGCTGGAGAATGGTTTTATTTTTCGTGGTGTGTTTTGCAGTTCCTCTGTACGTGGCCTTCAACAGCACAGTTCCAGTGCTTTAGGATTGTTTCTTTTCACTCCTATTCTATCTTGAGGCACTGACTTGTGTGGTCAAATCATCTGTTTTATTTTCCTTGCCCTGGGGTATTCTGCAATGCCATTGTATGTGGCCTTTAATACCACATTTCCAACACTTTAGAACCAGTTTGTTCTCACTCCTACTCCATATCAAAGCATTGACGTGTCTGGTTAAATAATCAAAAGAGCCATCAATTGATCCACTGGCTCTTGGACTTGCACAGCTCTGATTGGGTATTCGTCTCTATGAGTTGCTTGCTGGACTGCCTAGAATTTCATGGCGTACACCAGAGCACTTTTTAAATCCTTCACATCCGCCATTCACAGTGCTTTCTGTATTTTAGGATCTCGGATGCCGTCGATGAAGTATCTCGGCCACAGGATTTCCCTTGTTTCTGTCGGGAACTCTGAAAAGGTGAGATGAGACAGCCTTTCAACATCTGTATCAAGCTCTGGAGTGTTTCTGTGCGCTTCTGTTGGCAGGATTTTAATTGAAGCCTTCTGTAATTTTTTACACATTTCTCAGCAAAGCGCAATTCCAATGTGCCAAAAAAAGCTTCAAATCTAGCCTTTGGTTTTACGAAAGAGTCTGAGGGATATCCGCAACGTCTGCTCTCGGAGAAGTGGCGAGATGACAAGCCTTAGCTTGGGAATCCCATCCATTCACATCTGTTGCTATAGAAAATTATGTCTGATACACTTGCCAGGAGATCTTCATATATGTGGATAGCTTCAAAGAGGGACAGGCAGGCATGGGTAAAAACTTAAAGCCATCTGTATTGCTCCCTGCTATCACTTCGAATTTCTTCAAGGTATCAACTTCTTTGGTGACCTCAGAAACCCTATCATCAATTTGTTGTTGGACAGCAGAAACTCTTCCTTCGATTCATTGTTCCACAACAGAAACTCTCTCTTCTGTTTGCTCTTGACAGAAGAAACTCTGTAATCGATTTAATGTTCCATGACAGAAACTCTCTCTTCTATTTGTTCTTTGACAGAAGAAAATTTTCCTTCAGTTTGTCCTACTTTATTTTCAGCTGTGTGTATTCTGCCTTCAATAGCCTCAGATTTATTTTCTATGCTATTCTCTTTTCATCCTTTCATGTCTCACGTCCATCTCTTCTTTAATGGAATCTTGGCCAGCTTTCATCTCTCCTTGGCCTGCTTTCATTTCTTCTTCAAATGCAGCAAAGGCTGCCACCAACTGCCTTAACTGTTCCTCTATCGCTCTTGTTATTAGTATTCAACCCCACTCTTGATACCAAAAAGTGTTGCATGTGTACGAGTTCATAATATATTGAATGCACAAGTTTGTTAAAAGGTTAATAAAATTTATTCTTATCGCAAGAAGTACAAGAAAATGCTGGAATTTTCCTGAGAAATGTTCATACAATATCACGCAATGTAATCAGTAGCTGTACTTTAAGCTACTAAAAATGTTAGAATACAATGCAATGAAAAGAGAAAACTAATCTGATCTCACCAGATTCACTACAATCAACCACAACAGCTCAGAAAACAACAACTGAACTGAGATGTTACTCTCCATCTTTTCAAAGCTCTCAGTTAGTTGCGAGAGAGTTCTAGTAATTTGCTTTGCTTCTTGGAATTTCTGAAAATCAAAAGAGTAGAATTACGGTTACACCTAACATAGTTGTTAGTTACATATACAGTACAAAGTCTTAAATCCGGACTCGTCAGGACTTCGGCGATTCCGGATTAGGAGTTTTTTCGGATTATAGATCATCAATTTAAATCTGGTAAGATGGCATGCAGAAATTATAAAATTAAAAATATGAAACCATAATTTATGAAATAAAGAGTAATTATGATCTAAAGGGTATCAAGAGCCCACCAGCGGCCAAGCGGTAAAGACGCTGAACACTGGGAGTTCAGTCCAAGGTTCAGTTCCCGCAAACGGGCTGTCTGCTTGAGTGTTTTCGTGGTTTTCCCCATGTCTTACGTGTATACAAGCCAGTTTCCCTTAGAAAGTCCTCCACGAAGGCATCCCTCCCTTTAGGCAGATAGCCCTTGTGTGCTTTGCCATAATGAATAATCCAAATCCTAAAGGTATCAAAATTTACAAAAAAAAAAAAAAAAAAAAAAAAAAAAAAAAAAATTTATTTATGGTTTACTTTATTAAAAATTTCTTTCAATGCAAGTTGTTTAAGTTGCTTTGTTTTTTGTGCTAATACTTTCTCTTTAATTCTCTCTTCTATAGATCTTGGATCTTATCTTTATAGCTAACTTTAACTACAAAGAGTTCTAACCAGTATCCTGAAAATTATAACCATTTAAACATTTGCTTGGTGTTAAAAGAATTCAAAGATGTACTTCTAGTACATCGTCGCACGAGGCGAAAGTTCAAAATGCGAGTTCATGAGTATGTAAAATAAGAACGAAAAATGTTCTTCGTCTTGTGCTAAGCTGGCGTAGAGGCAGTCAGAGAAATCATGTGATCTTGAGAAGGCACCTGGTTGATCGAAATCAGTAAAGTTCATTAAAAGTTTTTAATTTAATGATAAAAACACTTAATATGTAATAAATTTATGTATATTCCTTTCAAACATCTCTCTTCTATAAAAAATATCTCTTCTCTTTATGCGCTTGCGTAAACGTATTATGTGCATGCATAAATGCATAATGCGTTTACGCATGTGCATAAAGTTTGTAGCTTTGAGGTCCGGATTATAGATCATTCTAGATTATGGATGTCCAGATTAAAGACTTTGTACTGTATTCAAATTAAATATAAATTACCAAGATAAACTTTTATTCAATGTTAAATGCACATGCTCCTGTATTTTTACTTTTTCCAGCATAGCTTTCTCTTAAAATTTATCACGCATTGCATTGCACGGAAAAATAAAACAGTTTAAATTATAATTCTACTAAAAATATATAACTAAATACAGAATTTGTAACAATATGCATGTTTTGTGTATCTTTGTATGCAGGGGAAATGTGTCCTTTTTTAATCATAATTTTATACTGTTCTATTCTATTCTATTGTTTGTTCAACAAACGTTATATTGTTCTAAATTTCAATTTTTCAAGTACTGCTTTATTTTCAGGAGGTGGTTATATGGTGAAAAATGTATTTCTTCCAATGGTTCTGGTGAGTGCATAATTTATTATTCTTTTGTGTGGCTTTGAAAACATTTATTTTATTTCATATGTCTTTTACTAGCTTTTTTTCAGTATTTTAAGAAAATGTTAATAATGGAATGTAAAGTATTTCAAAAATGGTTGCTTAACTAAATGTGTATTGGTTATAGAGGCCAGGCTGCATTTTGAGAGCAAGACAAGTAAAGTAGGTTTTCAGAGTCTAACAGTTATGATCTTGTGATATTTGCTAGTAAAAATACTATGGACCTTGGATCATAAATGCCTAACCTCAAGAACAAGTTATCTGAACAAAAATTTTCGGATAGTGAGAGGAGTCTCAAGTTAAGTTGGCAATGTGTCATTTTCAAAGCTGTGTTTTGATCACAAAATTAACACTCATGGGACCTCTGACAACATCATTTTAATATTTTCCATTACTTAACTCAATAACTCAAATGGTTTACAATGCCATAAATTTAGTGTGGAGAAAATTATGGCCAGATTATACTGTAAGCAGAGAATGTTTTTTGATATCTATAAACTAGGAAGTTAATCATCTGTAGCGATCACGTGGTTCGGTGAAACTTCGGTAGTTGCTCGTGTCACCATCTATTTGCACTGGCGAGAAGTACTATTACGAGTCGAGAAGTGCTGTTCTTTACCATTAGCTTAAAAGAGCTCCATTGCACTAGGTTCAAGAATTCCAACTGTTTTCAAATTTGTGTTGAATTGTTCTTGAGATTGCTACAAATCAAGACATGGAGAAATTATTAGAAGGACCGTCAAAAATGATCTCAACCAAAAAGAACAACTTCAGGAAGAGCAATAAAAGGTGATTGTGGAAGAAATGTCTTCAGAATGGCAATAAAGAAAAATTAACCTAATTTTATAATCAGCAAAATTTGTGCATAACGGCATAAGATATAAGGTTTTCATCCAATGATACCACCTTGATAAATCAGTAGCAAACTATGGCATATGGATTTTAAAAGATGTCTCACTTTAGAAGCATTTTTAAATATAGGCTACAACAAGTTATGAAAAATTTTGAGTGAAACGGAAGCCCAGTTAGTTTAAGCAGAATCAAATAGTGCTTAGAGAAAAGGAAAAGATGCTTCCTAAAGGCAGGTACCTTTACCATCCAAACAATAACATCTTCTTCATAATTTTCCATGTGTGCTGTTTGCTGTATTTTGTACAGGTACAATAAAATTAAGTTCTTATCTATTTTATCCTTTTAATACTCTGTCTTTTTTGTTTTATATTTATTGAATTTCATTAGTTTTGGCTTATGGATTAGTGCATAAAGTGTTGTTGTAAAGTTTAAATAAGCAATCATTTGTGATCCAGGAATGAATTAATCCGTTTTACATTAATTCCTATGAAGAAAATTGATTCAGTTTACAAACATTTTGCTTCACAAAAGAAAGTTGCTCTTAATCGTTATAATTTTTTTATGAAATTTGCAAAAGTATCTCTGGGGTACAAAAAAATTACCAAAATTATATTATTAAAATGCTTTTACTTTGCGAAGCAGCATGAATTTCGGTTCAAAGATTATTTAAAAGCTGAATTTCTTACAATACAAAATTTTACGTATTAAAATATCTGCAAATGGAAGTTTGAAATCCATGCTTCTGTATTGCTGTTTTTCTGACATAAAACATTTTCTTTAGAAATTTGCATTTGATAAATTATCATGAGTAGTCATTTTTGGCAATACCTTTCTTGTATAGTCTCCAAAAGCTTAATTAGTGATATCTAGAGTAATTGTACATTTCTCAATATAATTTAGCTGGGGAAAGCATAGCTCTCATTGATTTTTTTCTCTATAGGATGAGAATAAAAATTTTGTGTTTTATATAGTATATATTTACTAACAATTGTTGTGAGCTGAAAGACTGATTGATTTTTGAACCAGGACTGTGCATCTCCGCCCAGTCATTCAACAGATAAAGTTATCCAATCTCTTTGAAAAACTGTGTTTAATTAAATTCTGTAAAGCTTACAGTTTTCTTTAAATCTAACTTTTATAGTCCCCAGAAAGTTGATATTAATTATTGCCTTATACTGCTTTGTGCTGAGAAATTAATCTGTTTTAAGTTAATTAACTCTTGAAAAATAGAATTATGTAAAAAGTTTTCCTTTAAAAAATGCTTTAATCTTTTTTAAAAAACCAATGCATTTTTAGCAAATAGAATAAATATAATTTATTTTAAATTTAGGTATAATTTAATTTTGAATTTCAGTGTTAAAAATGATGTAATTGAAATGCGGTTATTTAAAAAATTTCATGTTCAAATTAAAGTCGAGTTGAAAGCCCCCCCTTTTTTTTAACATTTTCATAATGATAATAATAGTAAAACTTACACTATGTTTTACTTAGTCAGCTTTTTTTCATTTTACATTAAGATGCTAAATTTAAATCCGATTAGCATTAAGTTTAAAGTGCTAATTGAAAACCAATTTTATATGATGCATTCCCAACTTCCTAAAAGTTTCTATCAAAATCTTCAACACATTATTTATGCATTTATATATTTATTCTGATGAGAATAATGGATTTTTTGTAAATATTAACGAGTTAAATCCCACCAGTATCGAAATGGTCTTGTATACAGGGGTTTTTTTTTTTTTTTTTTTGTTATTATTATAGACAATTTCAATGATCGCACAAAAATTACTAAAATTTTATGCTCAGTATCTCTTAGATTCCTCTAAACTGAAAACAGTAAGAAAGACTGCTGATTATGGCAAAGTATTTGAAAGTTATAAGCCTTCTAGAAAGAAGTAATACTGATTAATAGAAAACTGTATAATTATTGAATTTTTTACCATAAATTTTAAAGCACTTTTTACATTCTTTTGTGTTTGAGCTGTAAGTTAAATAAATATAAATTAAAAGAGCATATACTTTGGAAATGTAATTATTTATATTTAAGACCTTAGTATCTTTTAAAATGCTTTAACATTGAACTATTTTTCTTTTTCATTTTTTCCAAGCATAATTTCATTGATTTCGTCAGTTTTTTTGCAAGTCATATCCATAATGTAATGTTCAGTTGGTAATAAAAAGGAGTGAAAGAAATTTGTTGAATGAAACCTTTTTTACTTTGAAAACACATACCTTGGGCTGCTGTTCTATATAGGCACTCATGCTATTGAGGCTGTCATATAACATCAGGCAATGTTTTTTATACCCTATCACATATTCTAGTCCACAACCAGAATTAGCAAGGAATTAGTAACGTACTAATATCATCAGGCAAGTTTACTCATATGAATCATTTGCATGTAAGTTGTAGTAAATGCTACGTCATGGTAATTGTTTTTGCTTGCAGTTGTGTGGTAATGGTTATATGCAATAAAGTGAACTGGTAAACTTATTGAATGTTTTTTACAATTATTTTCTTTCCTACCCAATAGATATGTGTTTTTATGTATGTTATAAATTTTATTTCATATTTCAGTAATATAATACTAGAATATAGTAATGTTAGAATGGTAACTATTGAATTCACTTTGGAAAAGAATAATATATTGTAAGTGTTTACAGTAAAATTTACTTCGGTTTAGGAGAATCAGAAATTAAAGGCTGGTTTCCTCGTTGCTGTGCTGTGGAGTTTACCAGTGCAGAATGTGAAGTTTCAAAATTGTCAAAGAAAATATCTTGATAAAAATAAATTATTGAAAAAGCAAGAGAAATTTTGCATTTTTCATATGTTAATAATTATACCATATTTGGTATTATTGCTCAATTAACTAATTCAAATAATGTGATATAAAAAATATTTTAAAAAAGCAATTTAAAAAGCAAATTTTATAGTAATGTTATAAAGTGAATATTTAAATATAATTGAGTTAATGAAACTGACCCTGGAAATAACAATGAAAAAATACTTTTTTCAATTGTAAAGATGATAGATATATAATGTGCCCTATTATCTTACATCTATTTATGTGGTGTAATAATATTAATATCTTCAAATTGAATTCAGCAAAATACAATCATGTTATATAATTGTATATATACAAAAACTGTATATGATTTTTTATTGTTTTTTATTATAAAAATATTTTGTCACATTTTTTGTATAAATAAAAATATTTATTCTTAGTTTATTATGTGAATGTAGTTTGGAAATTTTATAACAAAAATTAAGTTTTTTTTTTTTTATAAATTTTAAGTGAATTCATAAACTTCCATGAAAAATCTTCCTAATGTTTTTCATCATGTTAGTTAAGAATTTATTTTAACAATGATGTATATGTTTAAATTAATGTGAAGTTTACCTAAAAATTATGTAACTAAATTATATATTTAATTATTCCTATTATCTGAAATAAAATAACAGTAAAATTATGTAACAGTTATTGAATAAGAATAATGTTATTTTCATATGTGTATTTATGAGGATACAAAATAATGATTCACAAAGAATGAGATATTGCAGAAGCGTGTATCAAAACCATTCCAGTGGAATAGCTGCCAACTCTCCTGATTTTACTGGGAGATTCCAATTTTTTCATCACACCTCCCAGTCAATCACCAAATCTCTCAATTTTTAAATTTTTAGCCTTTAATAAGAAAAGTGCTTATAAGCAATGAATGAAATTTATTGAGTAATGCAACCTTAATTAGGCAAATTCCATTCCTCCACCTCTAATGATTTTCAGAATAATTTTTTGTGTTACATTTTATTTCATCTGAATTGTATTTTTTTTCATATTACATTTTATTGATCTTATTAAATTTCATTTGATCCAGGTTGTCTTAATCTACTATACATATTTGTAGATTTTTATATTAAGATTCAAGCAGTATTTAACCAGTTAATATTTGTATTTAATTTTACTTCAATATTTGGTATATTTCTAAGTTTATCTGTACAAATACCATGTACATCAGGGATGTCAAACTCATAGGTACACTTGGGCCAAACAAACAAGGTTTAACTTTAGGCGGGCCGCAAAAAAAAAAATCAATATTCATAGAAACGTAGATTTATT